ATTCAGATCCCTCCCAGCAGCTTGGAAAACATGCTGAGGGTATGTATGTGGCTTCCCAAAATCCTGAGAGGAAAATGGGAGAGAAGGGATTGTTGCATGCCCACCCCTTCCAGGGGAGTGCCTTCTCTCTCTCTCTCTGTCTCTTTCTCAGTCTTGTGCCCCACCCCATCCTTTACTCTAGCCACCCAATTCTCCTCAAATTGACTACTATTCATTTTTCTTTTAATTTGCTCTAGAGCACACGTGCTCACCAGAGGGAGACAGACAGAGGGAGGTGGGGGACGGGGAGAGTGAGAAAGTATTCCCCAGAGGCAATGACCACACCACAGTCTCTTCTCCATTCTCTCTGGATTTTCGGCAGTATGTGCATATGCCAGGCATGTTTTTCAAGCCACGTGTTCAGAGACTCGAACTGTATAGTCAGCTATGTGGGATCCAGCCTCATCAACTGCAGCACCTGCTAGCTGATCCTGACTACTGTCAGTTTTGTTGTTGTTAATATCCTTCTAAGCACATCGCATATAAACTCATGTACATTTCTGCATGTATTTAAACACCTATTATTTCATACCTTGATTTAAATTAACACAAAATTTGTTTTCATTTGCTAGTCTTTTTTGTAATTGAAGTTAGTTACCTTTTCATTTGTTTGCTGATCTCTCACCTGAGCAATATTACCTGAAAAAAGCATTTTTACAGGACCAGGAGTGGCATGGTGGTTAAGGTGCTGGACTTCCATAAAGCTGACAACAGTTCAAGTTCTGGACCTGGTGGCTTGAAAATCACTCTAGGCACATGTGCATACATGCCCAAAACTCTGAGAGGAGAATGGAGGAGAAGAGGTTGCCTCATGGCCATCCCTCTGGGGGTTGATTTCTCTATTTCCCTCCCTCTGTCTTTCTCTCGCTGACGAGGTCATGCACCCTATGGCAAAAGCTAAAAAATAAGAAAGCATTCAGCTCTTGACGAACGGGTAAACATGATCAGATAGAGGTTTTCCATCTGGATATGATGATGGACAAATGATTATTTGAACTTTTTTTCAAAACTATAAATCACAACCCTGTTGCTTATTCTTTTTCCAAGGGAATGCTGAACACCATAAGAATTAGTTATCTTTGTCACTTCAAAGAAAATAGGACATTTACTAGATTGCTTTGATCCAGCAAGTATAGTAAAAAGCCTAATTATTAGGGAATATTGTTGTACAAATTGGACTGTATTAAATGTCACCTGTTTCACGTATCTGCTTGCTAACAGGAAATGTCTTGGAGCATTTTACACTGTTTATCAGTTCTGTAGGTTGTACCTTTACAGTACTGGTATTTGCAGTGGGTGGTACTCATAGAATGTCTTTGATTTTGAGCAGCGTTTTCATCCATTCTTCTAAATAGTGGAGAGGGGAAAGTGGGCTTGTCTTTGAATTCTATTAGAATATGGTATTAGATAGATTGGGAGGGGAAAAGGGTAGATTATTTTCAGTAGTAGAATGCATTAATATTGCTGTAGTACCATCCTTTCAGTTGTGAAATATAACTGGGCAGAACTATATAACTGCTAGTATTAAATATTTTAACTTATGTCATTTGCATGACAACACTGGCTATAACTCAGCTTGGAGCTTTAAGTGTCATTCAGTATTTAATTGTCATTGCAGTCTTCGGATAGGGTCTTTGTATTGAAGGACTGGAGTTCAGAGAGTTCAGAAGAAATACACAGTTTGGATGGGGTAAAGTGGTTACCTATGATTGACACCCAGACCTGTTTGATCTAATAGCCATCTTCTCTTTCCTCGGCTTATGTTTCCTTCTTGTCGAGAAGGATTTTAAAGATAATTTTGGTTTAAGTGACATACAGTAGACACCCCTTATCTGCAAGGTATGCATTCCAAGACCCATGATGGATGGCAGAAGTCGCTAGGGATTTTGGAATGATACGGATAGCACTAAAATAAATAAACACACTATATGTATATTGTCTTTTCTCATATATACTCATGAGAAAGTTTAATTTATAAATTAGGCACATTAAGAGATTAACAGTAACTACTAATAAGATAGAACATTATAATAGTATATTATAATATGAGCTAGCCCCATGGCCAGGTGGTTAAGGGAGCCAGACCTAACACGACTGACAGAGCAGTTCAAGTCCCAGCCTGGGGACTTCAGAAACACATGGGGCATGTGCACGTGCACCCCAAATCCCAACAGGATGGAGAAATAAAGGAGAAATTGTGGTGTGATCACACCCTGTGGGGGTTGTTTGCGCCCTGTCCTTATTTTGGTCTCTCTCTGGTGAGCATATGTATCCTCATGCAAAATTATATATATATATATATATATATATATATTATATATATATATGGCCCACCACAGTAGTTCCCTCTTATGCATGATTGTGCTTTCCTTAGTTTTAGTTATCACTGTCCAAAACACATGAGTACAGTCTAAGACATGCCTGAGGAAAGCACAGTCATGCAGAAGAGGGAACTACTGTGGTGGGCCAATGAAGAGACAGGTTCCAAGTGTAAAAAGGCACAGTCATGTTTAGTGATTTTTCAAACTCAGTGGCATATTTTGTTATATAATACAATCGAATGGTTTTATAGAAAGCCTAAAAGGGAAAAGCTGATTGCTTTGCCATTTCTATTTCTGCCTGCCTACTTGCTTCCCATACACCTGTGTAGGTATCAATCTTTTTTTTTTTTTTTTCCCTAATTTGCTATAGGGTGCATACGCTTATAGGAGAGAGAGGGAGTGAAAGTGAGAAAGCACCCCCCAGGCTTGATGGCCTTGCTGCAGTCCCTTCTATTCTCCTCTTGGAATGGGCACACACCCACGTGTGCCATGTGCCTCCTGTGATTTTTGTTTGCTTTTTGAGTTTTGTTTGTTTGTTTGCTTTACAGCATGTGCACTCACCTCACCGGAGAGACAGAGACAGAAAGAAAGCAAGAAATCACTGCCCACCCTCTCTCCCCAAGAGGTATGGATACACCACAGTCCCTTCTCCTCTGCTCTCCTCTTGGGATTCCGGGCATGCACACACGCACGGCGTGAGTCTCAGGTGCCAGGTCTGGGACCCCAGCCGTGGTCAGCCATGTGGGGGTTCAACACCTCAGCAACCATACCATCTGCTGGCCCTACCTGGCATGTTTTTCTTTCTTTCCTTTTTGTTTTTTAAGAATTATTTTTATTTAATTTTATTTCTTACTGATATTTTCATTCAACCAGAGAGAGATGGGGGGAGAGAAAGAGAGAAAAAAGGAAAGTGAGAAAGCAAGCCACCAGATCCGGGACGCAAACCATGGTCAGCCACGTGGGAGCCAGCACCTTAACCACCACACCACCTGCAGGCCCCCACCTGGCATGTTTTTCAAGCCTCCCGGTCCAGGACTCACATCACTTAGTTGGCCATCTGGAATCCAGCCACTTTAAGTACCACACCGCGGGCTGTCCAGATATCAGTCTATTAAACCCAGACAAGGGAATAGTTTGTATTCTTTCTGTAATACTTCAGCTACTTAGCTGTTTATATTTTTTTTAGTAACCTTAGCGATTACCTGGTAGAATGTTCAGAAAGAGTAGAGGTGTAAAGAATAATTGGTATTTTGTTGCAGAGACCAACCCTTGAAAAAGTACATATACTTTGACTTTTGTGACGAGCTATCATCGGGGACTCATATTTTAGTTTGTTTTATCAAGCCTTTCTTGTAATGATACTTGTCTAGTGAGACGTTTTCCTGTATTTATTTTGTATAGTGTTTTTGGGAAAGGAAATGTTTTTCCCTCCATTAAAATTTGATAGAAAACAGTGATTTAAGAACAAGCATTAGAAAAGGGATTGCTGCAAAAAAGATTAATTAAAAGATTAATTAATGTCTTTTTTTAAAGTTTATTTTGAGGAATATAGAATTTTTCACGTCATATGTTATAAAAATAACTAAATTATAGAACACGTGATAGTAGATATTTGTAGAAAATCTGGACAAGCAAGAGTAAGAAAATACATAATTTCTTCCACCAAATATATTGATATATACCATTTTTCCTTTCATAGTTTGTTCTCTTTTCCATTCATCATGGTCGGACAGTCTTCCTATAGTGAGATTTATGATGCTTTATGGTGTTGAACTTTCCCTAATCCTTCCTTTTACGCTCTTGTTTCTTGTTCCCTCCACTCCCCCCTGCATCCCAAAGTTTATTTAAATAATTTAAAAGAGTGAAGTGTTGGGGGGACAGAAGCAAGCGCTCTCAGTGAGATCTTCATGCTGCAGACCTCCCCTCTAGCCAGCTAGCTGGCCATACTGCCGGGATCATGGGCATGTGTGCCCAGCCTACGGGGAGGTTTTGGGATGAGAACTCCTGACCTTCCCGTGTAGGTCAGCCTTGCCCATTGTTGTGGTACCACTGCACCACTGTCCAGCCCCATTGTTTCTTAGTCTTCACCTTCTGTTTTCTTGATGGTGCCTTATCCGTAAAGCTTCCACTTCCAGAGATACTTACCCTTTGTTTGCAGCACTGTGACATGCATACCTTTTGTAGTCATTATGGCTCACAATTATTGCCCTAAACATGAAGCAAAAGACAAAAAGGCCAGAGTTGGGGAAACATTTCATTTTTCAGGGCACGTGTAGTTCAGGGTCATCCTGATGGCTGCTCTAGTCCAGGAACGCATGCGTCGAGTGGTGCTGGTGTTCTGCCCCCACGTGCAGCTCTCTGGCTGTGCCTGCATGCCTTGTCCAAGAGTGTCCTGTAGCATAGCAGACAAAGTATTTATTAACTGCGCGCTGTGATTTTTTTTCTTTTACAGAAATACATATTCTTTTTTATTGAAGAAAACATTTCAGAAGGCATGAGAAATCAGTGCTTTTCAGAATGGCACTAAGGAGATGTAAATTTTCTCATTGAATTAAAGTTTGTTGTTGTAAGACTTAAATGACAGGTTGGCTTGTCAGGAAGCATTTCTTAACATGTGTTCCATTATTGGCATTTATTTAGAAGGAAAATCAACAATAGCTGTGACAAGCTGCTGCCTCTTGGGTGTCATGGCCAGGTAAGAGTGCATACAAGGACGTGTCTGACCCTGAAGCTGTTTACCTAGTTAAGCACACCCTGTGAGTTCCACTGGCTGCTATTGTTAGTATTTGTTATCAGCAGATGGCAGTTTACTAATTCAGACAATCACCTGCTGAGTTCTATACTGGTGTGGATTATATAAGCATATTCTATACTCTTATTTATGGGCAGTCCTGCTGCTTTTACAGGCTAATTCACAATATGCCATTGTATTAAGATTTTTTTTTTTTTTAGTTTATTTAAAACATTTTGCTAGAGGGTGCATGTGCTCACTGGAAAGAGAAAGAGAGAGAAAGCATCCCCTTCTCCATGGGGAATGGTCATGCCAAATCCTTTCTTCTTTTGGGATTTTGGGCATGCGTGTACATGGACCTGGTTTGTTTTTCAAGCTGCCTGATCAAACCATGCAGTTCGCCATGTGGTGTTCAGCTATCTTAACCACCACACCACTGGCTGACCCTCTTTTTATTTTAAAGGGTGGTGTCAGGCACTATTCTTGTTCCTCTAAAATATGATTAAAAGACAAGATAGAATTCTGTTGGGGGGACCAGCAGATGGCGTAATGGCTGGATTCCCATGTAGTCAACCGCTGTTCGAGTCCCATGTCTGGTGGCTTAAAATCACGCCCAGCGCGTGTGCGTGCACACCCAAGATCCCAAGAGGAGAATGGAGGAGAAGGGATTGCGGCATGGCTATCCCCCCAGGGGGGGTGTTTTCTTGCTTTCTGTCTCTCTGTCTCTCTCTGTCTTTCTCACGGACCCTATAGCAAAAACCTCTCACCCAAAAAAAAGAAAGAATTGTGTTGGGAAAAGTGATGAAATTATTTTAGTGTACAAAATAAAAATTAGGTTTTAAAGGGAGACTATGATAATGTTCTGTTTCATAAATGTTTTTCAGTTTATATTATTTGTCTAAATTACAGATTAAGTGAGCTGTATATAAATTATTGATGTGACTAAGTAGTTAGATGAACAGAAAGAAAAGTTACTGATTGACACAAGTTTCCTAAGTAACAGCGCTGATATTTGATAGCATAATTGTTTCATGAGACACAATCATGGGATCTCTAGACAATGGAAAAATTATATAAAATCAATATATAAAACTTATAATATTATTATTTCTCCTAAAATTGTCCTATATTTTGGCTGGCTCTGTGGCCTAGTGGTTAAGATCCTGTATGGCTGATGCATGGTTCAAATCCCAGGCCCTGGTAGCTTGAAAAACACACTGGGTGTGTGTGTATCCCGAGTCTCAGCAAGGTGGAGATATGGAGGAGAAGGAATTGCACTGTGACTATGCCATATTGAAGGTGGCTTTCCACCTCTCCCACTCCCTCTCTTTGTTTCTTTCTGGTGAGTGCACCCACTCTTTGGCAAATGAAAAAGATGCCCTATATTTTATGTATCTCGGTTATTTTGTGCCATGTAATCTTCCTACAAATAGAATAAACTCAGAAGTAGTTAAAATGTTAATTGATCACATGAAAACACAATGGCTAAAATTTAAACTGACATCAAATGTTGGTAACGAATGAGGAGCAACCACAGCTCATTCTTTCTCGGTAAGAGCATGAACTAGTATGACCACTTTGGGAAAAGTCTAGCAGTTGCTTATAAAACTAAACATGTGCTTTCCTGTGACTCAGTCCTTCCACTCTTAGGTATTTACCCAAGAGAAATGAAAACGTGTTCACAGATTCTCTTGTTCCTAATCTCCAAAGGCTGGACGTAGTCCAGTTGTAACTGTCAATAAGGAGTACAATATAGTGGTTTACTGCTGAGCACTGGGAAGAAACAAACCACTAATATATACCACAGAGTGGGTCATCTCAAAAACATGCTGAGCTAAAGAAAGAAACCTTACTTCAAAGAATGTATGTTCTACATTTCTATTTGGATAATACCCTGGGACAGGCAAAATTAATCTGCGATGGGAAAGATGTCAGACCAGTAGTAGGAGGAATTGACTGGGATGGTCATGAGAGAACCTTTTGGAGTGGTGATTCCATTCTGTATAGTGACTGTGCCACCTAGGTGTATGCATTTGTAACAGACTCTAAGAGTGTGCACTTCAGATGTGTGCATGTTTTTGGTATTTAAATTTTACCTCATAATAAAAATGTAAAGAGAAATGGAACTTGAGTTAATAATACGTATGTTGTTACAGTTAGAAGTGTACTGACTTCTGCAGTTTACTCTGAAGTGCATAAAAGGATAAAGCAAGGATAGGAAGGTAAGTTATAAAACCAGGGCACTCAAATGCTTATGCTGTTTACTGTAAAAATGTTCAACTTTGCTGTGTGTTTGACAATTTTCGTAATAAATGATTGGGAAAAATATCACTTGATAATGCAACATTTAATGGTCTGTTCAGGCGTGGTGTGTTATTTCATAAACTTTTTCTTTGCTTCAGTGATATTTATTCCAATTTCATATACGAATGTGTGGCTGAGAATTTTTGTGGATTTATTTCAACTGTTAAGTATACTGAATCATAGCTTAGTGAGGAGTTACAGTACAGAGAAATGTCATTCTAACTTACTAGTCTTTTTTTTTTTTTCTTTTTAAAAATTTGTCACAGGGTGCATGTGCTTGCTAGAGAAAGAAAGAGAAAGCCGAGGAGTCACTCCTCCTCTTTGTCTTCAGATAGGGTATTGTTAATCCTGTGCACGGTTTTTGGTTTTCCTTAGTAATGTCTAGGTAGAGCATTGTTGATCCCGTGCCTTCTGTGGGATTGTTTTACATGTTACTTATATAATACCTTTTTATTTTTTTCTCTAATATGGAGACAAGAGAAGCGACAGTAAACATTCCCAATTATAGATACCAATGAAGGTAGACTTGAAAGTAAACGGACCAGGGACCAGCAGTTAGTGTAACGGCTATATCGCTGGACTCCCATGTAGTCGACTGCGGTTCGCGTCCCAGACCCGGTGGCTTAAAACTCACGCTGGGCGCGTGTGCGTGCATGCCCAAAATCCCGAGAGAATGGAGAAGGGATTGCAGTGTGGCCATCCCCCCTGGGGGGTGATTTCTCGCTTTCTGTCTCTCTGTCTCTCTCTCTGTCTTTCTGGCGAGCGCACGTGCCCTATAGCAAAAACCTCTCAAAAAAAAAAAGAAAGAAAGAAAGAAAGAAAGTAAATGGACCAGAGTTTGGATCCCATCTGTCACTTACAGCCTCATTGCTTTAACTCCTTTGAACCTCGTTTTTCTCATATATAAAATAGTTTTGGTAACTGCTTTATAGGGTTTGTTGAAAAGATAAAATGCAGTAATGCTTGTAAAGCAATTAGTATAGCATCTAGCATGTAGTAATAGTGAGTAGAGTTATGAAGTAATTGTTCAGTCTTTGGAGATGAACTTTAAGACTCCTCCAGCTCGTTTGAGTAGGAAGTAAAGTAATATGTGTAAGTGAAAATAAGCCAAAGGTATGCCTCATTCTTTTAATGGACACTTAATAACCCAGGAAGAAGCCTAGGATGTCTGTGGCTTCCTCCCCAGACATTAGAACAATAGGTTGCTACAGAAATAACCAGTGTGATGGTGACTAATGTTTGGAGAGATGCTTGGGAATGAGAAAAAAGTAGTAGACATTTGTGAGTTTTGTTGGTGCCCAACATCCATTACCTTGCATCTAGGCGCTGCTCCTGGTTGCCTTTTGGGGATACATTCTTGTTCTACTTTATGCATGTCTGGGGAAGTTGACCCACCTCTTAGTTTTGAAAATAACCAGTTATAGCCTGTTAAAACACTCCATGTCCCTGGCCACATTGATTGCTTTGGGGTGGGTATGTGACCCAAGCCAAGCCCTCAGACTTAGAAAGAAGTGCTGCTTCTGGGGCCTTTGCTGGCAATATTGTGGAAGCTGAACGAGGGCTCTGACTACGCCTCCAAACCACTGGGGCCTGTCCTCCACAGACAGCCTGAGAATGAACCCACTCCAGAGGCAGAGGAGTTGATAGAATCCTGGGTCAGTCACACTTAACATTGTTTTTCACTTGAGCTGGTTTCAGTTAGATGTTCTAGTGTTTGCAGCTGTGAGAATCCTGCACACAGGTGTTTACCCACTGTACTGTCTACCAGTAGCATTAAGTGTTTCTTTACTTACCTTGTAATTCTACAGCTAGGCTTAAGCTTGTGCATCACGTATACTCTGCTTGTATAGTGCTTAATCTGCTGATAGATTTTAAGTTCTTTGGGAGGAGAAACTAACTTACTCCTGTTATAAGTGCTTTTCGCTCTCATTGGAATGTCTGTATCTGCTGCCCAGTACAGTAGACTCAGGCCTTATTTGGTTATTGAACATTTGGAATGTAGCTAGTCCCAACTGAGAGGGGGCCTAAGTATAAAACACTAGCATGAACAAGGAACGTAAGCTGTCTCAGTTTTTTTGGCATGTTGATCACACGGTGTGATTAGTTGGGGTGTCAGCTAGACTAAGGACTACCTAGAACAAAAGGATTACTCTGGGTATTTCCAGAAGTGATTAACATGGAATCTGAGAAGACTAGATGTGGAAGATGCACCCTCAAGGTGGAAGTGATCCAATCAACAGTGGCCCCAGAGCTAGTGAATAGCTCTGGTGATATATTAAGTTTTTTGCTACAGGGCACATACACCTGCCTGGGAGAGACAGTGAGAGGGAAAATGAGAAATCACCCCTCAGGGGCATGGCTGCTCCACAATCCCTTCTTCATTCTCCTCCTGGGATTTTGGGCACACACGCACATGTACCTGGTATGCTTTTCAAGCCACCAAGTCCTGTACTCAGACTGGTCAGCCATGTGGGAGTTCAGCACCTTAACCTCTACGCCACCTGCTGGCCCCCAAAATGGATCTCTTTTGAGACCAAGCAAGATAGACCTCATCTGGAACCTGACATCAGCCTGCCTCAGGTTCCAGGATTTGCACTAGCAGCCCCCTGGGATCTCAGCTCTCCTGACCGGTGTATTTGGACTGGACTGTAGCTACCAGATCCATGCTACCAGAATCCCAGAATCTCCAGCTTTCAGACAGCCTGTGGTTTAATTCATCAACTGCAATAATCATTTGAGCTGATTCCCTAAGAAATGCCCCTTTAAATATACCTGAACAAACCTGTTGATTTTTTTTTTCTTAGCAAACTTTGTACTACTACACATGGTGAGATGATAATAATTTTGAAAAAACTTAAATTAGATAAAACTGTTAAAAGTAGCATCATCTTTTTTTTTTCAGTTATATGTGCCCTATATTATATTTCTATTAATCTCTTTGTATTACACTAAGCTCTACAAAGGCAGGAACTGTCTAGCTCTCCCAGGTAACCCTGCATGTGTCTGCCCGGCAGCATGTTATCAACATACTCGGTGAATGAGTTGCAGATTTTCTGATGCCTAATTTTTGTACCCGTTACGTGTGCCATGCTAGTTAACTGATAGCAGAAAACAAATTGATGTGGTTTTTGTTCTGTTTTACTCTTAGGTTTTCTTCATCTGGGCTGTTTCCAGATATAAAACAAACCAAAAGATTGCCAGGGGTTGCTGGAGTATGTTCTGGGTGATATTAGCTACCCTTGTTCAGGAATTCACAAATTTAAATATGTAGATGCGTAGTTCTTGAGTGGAGATCCCTTGTTCAGGAATTCACAAATTTAAATATGTAGATGCGTAGTTCTTGAGTGGAGATCCTAAGTGTGAAAAATGTCATTAGAGGGAAAGGTGTTAAATACTCACTTTCTTCTGGTGCTCCTTCCCATTTCTTTCCATTAGGTAGCTTGCTGGAATGCAGGGGAGTTGCTCAGGCTGACTTCTCTCTTTTGGGTCCTCTGAAGAGTCATGACACGCATTTTTGCATAGGGAAAAAAAAAAACAAAAAAACAACAAAAAACAACAAAACAGAAACACCTCCTGACTTTCCCAACAATGCCTAGATACTTGGGTTTGTTTTAGTTTGTACTATCTATTCATTCTTTCCTAATGAGTACTTTGAAGATAGGGTTTACTAATTGATCTTTGCAATATCAGGACGTAATTGTATAATTGTAACATAAATGAACTTCTCTCACTAGAATTGTTCATTTCAAATTGCACTGAGATGCCAGTAGCTAGGGATATAGGCAGTTATATCCAGAATTGTTTATCCAAACGTGTTTGCATGTACATGTACGTGTGTGTATATTTTGGCTTACTCAATCTCTACATATTTATTATACTTTAGGTATTTAAGTATGATTTATACTAATAAATTATGCCTCTGAAGTTAGACTGCTCAATTCAAATCATGTTTCCCTGAGTTCCTAGCTCTGGTATTTTAGGCAAGTTTCTTAATGTTTCTTACTCTGTTTCTTCATCTGAAAAATGGGAGGAAACCAATAATAATATTGAACTCAGCATTAAAAATCTGTTAATTCCCTTCTCTTTAATACTTGTCAGACACAGAGTAAACACTCAGTAAGTGTTAGCTTTTATAATTATTCCCCAAATTCATTGCTTTTAGATGTCAGTTGATATAATGAGTTAATCCCTGGTTTTTTGGGGAATTATTTTTATTTAACTTTATTTATTATTATCGTTATTTTCCAGTTTGATCAGAGAAAGAGAGAAAGAGAGAGAGGGAAAGTGAGAAAGCAAGCCACCAGGTTTAGGACTTGAACCACAGTCGCCAGTGTGGGAGTCCAGCACCTTTAACCACCATTCCACCTGCCGCCCCATCCCTGTTTCATTTAGACCGTGACTTATAACAGTGCTATTTCTTGTTGTCTAACAACAAAAATCCCAATAGTCCGTGTTCTTCTCATGTTCTTGTTTTTCCACTTGTACCTTTTAGTGGCCTGCCTCTCAGCCTTTTCCTGGCTACCCCATATTTTTCTTTAGGTGATCAAGCATTGGTATTTCAGCCAGATATGTGCCATGGGTATTTACTACAGTGATTTTTCCATGGTAGTTGGTTGTCCTTTTCTACTGTTCTGCTGTTTTTTTTTTTTTTTTTTTTTAATTAAACAACAGTGAGACACCCACCCTCCCTCCCTAACAAGTGATGCGCTCAGGATGTTTGAGCTGGAAGAAGCTTTACAGATTGTCTAGCCCAGTGCCCTAGTTTTTCAAAACAGAAGATTATGGCCTGAGGCTGCAATTCCTTCTGATGAAGGACATTTGTTGTAAATCTTAAAAAACACTTTTTTCTCAACAGTAAAATTCACAGAGTGAATTATTAAATTTTGGCTTTCTGGAGATAATCAGGGAATTTTTATAT